TACCATCTCAGAAACTCAATGGGGGTCGCTATGAATCAGAATAGCCTTGATGGCAGTGAGTTTGTTTTTTTTCCAATTAATGAACTTCCTAAAAGCAGAATTTCTTGTCCTTTGTTTGGGTGGGAGAGATACACAACAGAACACAAATCAAGAATTTGCTAACTGCATAAAGTTCCACAATTATTTATATTTACGTAAGGTTGGAAATGTCTGGTAAAGGCCAAATCCTATTACTTCACCCTTCTAAGGTGAATTCCCCAAATTCTTTGGACTGAAATTTTTTTTTACTATGCTGGTGTTTGTTAAATTATAGAGTTGTCTTAAACGTGTACTCATTACCCTGTCATAGGGCATTACCCAAACCCACTGCCGTCGAGTCAATTCTGACTGTTAGCAACCCAACAGGACAGAGTAGGAATGCCCCACAGGACATTAGACATCTATAATAGTCTCAAGTCCAATCTGGCTTGGGGGAAGGGCACAAGGGAAATTAAAAACAAAACACCAGACAAGACACAGTGATTTTACTTTTCATAAAGCTGAGTAGAAAGAGCAAATATTGGCTAAAAACAAACCAAAAAGAGGCACAAATGCAAGCAGTGGCAGTTAACATTTCTGAAATTCTAGACCTAAGTTCTAAAAGAATCTAAGAACACTATTAATGTATGTCAATCAATTCAAAAACAAAAATCCAGTTTTTCTACCCAGAAACTGCTTTGTTGTGAAAATAGATATTTTCCATCCCATATAAATCAATGGGCAAAACTGGGCCAATAGAAAAGCAACACTGGCAATTTATGGAACTAGCAAGACAGATACATGTGTGTATGTGTGTGTGTGTTTTATTTTAGGTATTCCACTCCAACAGACACTCTACATATAGGGATTGCTCTCATAAATATTTAAAATTGTATAAAATGTAGAAGTTTAAAAATGAGTTTACACTTTCATAATTATTTTCGTTTGTTTAAAAGACACGGCTAAATGTTTCACCCTCACATGAATTAATCGCCCATTCCAGACTTTGGAGAACCTTATTTTTTCCCCTCATGTATCAAGGTCCAGATACAGAACTATAAGCTTTCAACATCAAACATTTCTTGCTTTTCAAAGGAAACTATGCTTTAATTCACAACCTGTGGCTAGCTATCATAAACAATACGCCCATAGTCTGGGTTGTATGAATGTGATGCTTCTATATTCTTTTGCATAATGGTTTTAAGTGACTTGAAGAGTTAAAAGCTGTCACCATCATCAGTGTTTATTGTATACCAATAGGGTGCATGACAGTAAGTATTAGCTTTGCTTTCAATAAAACATCTACAAATTAATCACTGATGTCCTTTAGGAAGTACTCTATTGCAGTGTATTCTTTTCTATTGATTACAATGACTTCTTCTTGCTAAGTAAAGATGAACTGCAGCTTCTATTTGAGAAAAGATTGTCAATCTGCAATGGACCCTTGCTGAAATGTCATGGGTGGGGGAGGGAGAGGATTTGCTAAGTAATCCAAATCTTAAGGGAAACTGTCAATCATTTCTTTTTGCAGTCTATCCTCCAGTTTGCCTCAAGCTCATTTAAAATGATGTACAGAATGGCTGAGTTGGCATCCTGCCCTATATTATGAGGGGCGTTCTATATAATGGCATGCTGGCTGTCAGGATGTCACAAACCTGCCCAGCGTCAGAATTCCTGATGTGACTGTGCCCATAGTTCCTTGCCTTGAGGAAAGGAATGGTACTTTCTTACTAAAAGCAAAGATCCTACACTGTCTGGGGAGCCAAGACTGGGAAAAGAGAAGCACAAGAAAGAACAAAGCTGCCCAGTTATGACCTTATGCTCCAGAAGCCTCTTGATCTTTTGGTACAAGAGCAGGTGCAACATTTTTCCCCTGCCTCTTTCCCCTCCCTCTCCACAGAGCCCTGTAAAGGCTCTAGCACGTCTAATGCAAATCCCAAGTTCACTCTTTTACCTCTGAAAGAAGGAAGACTCCAAATGCATATCCTCTAAACAGGATGGTAGTTAAGTTTTGGGGCTACTTTACAGTTCAATATTTATTGCATTCCAAGAATACCTTAGTTCTTGATCATATGCTACCTCCTGAAATGGCTGAACATTGACCAATTCTTTTTAATACAGTGGCTGTGTATTCCTTCCATCTTCTTTGATGTTTCCTGCATCTTCCAGTAACTTGCCTGTAGAATCCTTCAATATTGCAATGTGAGGCTTGAATTTTTTTCTTCAGTTCTTTCAGCTTCAGAAATGCCAAGTATGCTCTTCCCTTTTGGTTTTCTATCTCCAGGTGTTTAGATGTTTTATTATAACACTATTTTATCTGCTCAAGCTGCCCTTTGAAATCTTTTGTTCAGCAATTTTACTTCATCACTTCTTCTGTTCGTTTGCTTTAGCTATTCTACATTCAAGAGCAAGTTTTAGAGTCTTCTGAAATCCATTTTTTTCTTTTTTTTTTCAATCACCTTTTGCTTTCTTCATGTATGATGCTCTTGATGTCATCCCACAACTCGTGTGGGCATCAGTCATTAGTGCTCAATGAGTCAAATCTATTCTTGAGATGGTTTCTAAATTCAGGTGGGATATACTGGTAGCTTAGTGCCTAAGGCACTGGACTGCTAACCAGAAGGCTGGCGGTTCAAACTCACCAGCAACTCCTTGGAAGGAAGATGGGGCAATCTACTTCCGTAGTGATACTGCCTCGGAAACCCAAGGAGGGGTTGCTATGAGTTAGGTCCAACTCGAAGGCACATAACAACAACATAACATACTCAGAGTTGTAATTTGGGTCTCATGGACTTGTTTTAATTTTCTTCAGCTTCAACTTAAACTTGCATATGAGCAACTGATGGTCTGGTCTGCAGTCAGCCCTGGCCTTGTTCTGACTGATATTAATCTTCTCCATTGTCTTTCAACAGATGTAGTTGATTTGATTACTGTGTACTCCATCTGGCCAGGTCCACATTTAGTCACCATGTATGTTGTTGAAAAAGGTTCTTTCAATGAATAGGACATTGGTCTTGCAAAAATTGTATCATGTGATCTCCAGCATCATTTCTATCATCAAGGCCTATTTTCCCATTACTGATACTTCTTCATTCCCAATTCACATTCCAATCACCAGTATTATTTACTGCATGTTTGATCAATTTCAGACTGCTGAAGTTGGTAAAAATCTTCAGTTTCTTCATCTTTAGCATTAGTGGTTAGTGTATAAATTTGGTAATAGTCATATTATCAGTCTTTCTTGTAGGCATATATATATTATCCTATCACTGGCAGTGCTGTACCTCAAGATAGATCTTGACATGTTCTTTTTGACAATAAATGCAGTACCATTCCTATTCAATTTGTCATTCCTGACATAGTAGACCATATACCATATGATTATCCAGTTCAAAATAGCCAATACCAGTCCATTTCAGCTCACTAATGCCTAGAATATCTATCTTCAACATTCCATTCCATTTTGACAGCTTCCAATGGAGGAAATACAGAATTGCTACACCAAAAAGAACTGGTTAATATTCAACCATTTCAGGAGGTAACATATGATCAAGAACCAATGGTACTAAAGGAAGAAGTCCAAACTGCTATGAAGGAATTGGTGTAAAACAAGGAAATGATGGAATACCAATTGAGATATTTCAAGAAACAGATGCAACACTGGAAGCACTGAACACTTATTCATCTATGCCAAGAAATTTGAAAGAAAGCTACCTGGCCAACTGACTGTAAGAGATCCATATCTATGCCCACTCCAATGAATGATAATCCAACAGAATGCAGAAGTTATGGAACAATATCATTATTATCACACACAAATAAAATTTTGCTGAAAATAATTATAAAATGGTGGTTGTAGTTGTACATTGAAAGAGAACTGCCAGAAATTCAAGCTGGATTCAAAAGAGGATGTAGAACAGGGGATATCACTGATCTGATCAATATTGGCTGAAAGCAGAGAATACCAGAAAGATGTTTACCTGTGTTTTATTGAGTATGCAAAGATTCAACTGTGTGGTTCATAACAAATTATGTACAACATCATGAAAAATGGGAAGTACGGAACATTTAACTGTACTCATGTGGAACCTGTACATTGACCAAGAAGCAGTTGTTTGAATAGATGAAAATCAAAGACTGTAGCCTTCAGTATGGGTTATACCAGAACATAAAGAAAACAAAAATCCTCATAACTGCACCAATAAGCAACATCATGATAAACAGAGAAAATAACGAAGTAGTGAAGGATTCCGTTTTACTTGGTGAAATCAAACAATATATTGCATTGGGCATATCTGTTGCACAAGACCTCTTTAAAGTGTTAAAAAGCAAAGATGTCAGTTTGAGGATTGAGGTGCACTTTACGGAAGCCATGGTATTTTCAATCACTTCTTATGCATGTGAAAGCTGGACAATGAATAAGAAAGACCAAAGAATTACGGACACATTTGAATTATGGTATTGGCAAAGAATACTGATTATACCATGGACTGACAGAATAATGAACAGGCCTGTCTTGGAAGAAGTACAGTCAGAATGCCCCTTAGAAGGAAGGATGCCAGTAGTTCATCTCATTTGTTTTGGACATGTTATCAGGAGGGACAAGTTCCCGGAGAAGGACTTTACGCTCGGTAGAGGGTCAGTGAAAAAGATGATTCTTGACGAGATGGATTGACATAGTAGCTGTAAAAAGGAGCTCAAACACAGCAACAATTGTGAGGATGGCATAGAGCCAGGTAGTGTTTCATTCTGTTGTACATAGGGTCACTAGGAGTCAGAGCCACCTCAATGGCACCTAACAACAAGGAGAATACCTCCTATCTGCACTAAAGCTTAAAATCAAAGTATTTTCTTTTTTATTCTAACTATAAGCTCTGCTACATTGATGTATATACAAAGGCCATTTGTTTCAAAGGAAGTATAATGTCTAGCCAATAGTTTAAAATTTTAACTAGACATTATTCTTCTTTGCAGCTACTTTCTTAATCACTGGAAAGATTCAGACCATTGGGAACATACATTCCTTTCTGATTTTGAGATTCTACTGCAAAAACCATCGCTTCATACACACTATAGAAGAGAAGGTTTTCTTCTTCCCTTTTGCAATACTCTCCCCTGGCCAAGGAATCCCTTACAGAGGGATTGCACTGAGCCAGCAAAACCTGGATACCAATGGCTTCATAATCTCTACGAACTTCTTTCAGGGTATGGATCCCTGCTGTATCCAAAAACTGTATTGCACTGCAGTCAATTACTATCGTGTGGAGCTCTAAGGGATCATGGGAAAGATGCACTGAAACTTCATTCCGGATTCCACTGAAAGTCACTGTTTCCTCTTTCATCATTCTCCTTGCTTTCTTCTTTTGAGCTGCCTTTATTAAGACTGGGTTGAGAGTTTTTTTGTATAAAGCAGATTTAAAAAATTCTTTGTTTATGTAGTAGAGAGGGGCTGTAAAACGAAAAATCTTGATTCCTGGCTTTGTCTGAAGGTTCTGGTAAGCAGACATGGATTCAAAGATTTCAGAATCTTCCACCAGGCCAAGCAATGAACTCTCTGGCTTCTGAGTACGGAGAATGACACAAAACATAGAGAAACAAACTCCAACAAGCAGGCCTATTTCTGTACTTATCAGTGCAGAGGACAGCATAGTAACAAACCAGATAACTGTATCCATTCTGCTAAGCCTCCACATCTGGGGTAGATCCCTAAATTTACGCAGGGCTCCCCGAAGATTTACAATAGTGATGACCCCAAGGACACACTTCTGAAGGGAAAAGAATAAAGGAGCTATTACCAGGAGGACCAGCAAAAGAACCAAGGCTGTGACCACACTAGAAAGCTGAGTTTGGCAGCCTGTTGATTCTTTAACCAATGTCTTTGCAAGAGCTGCACTAGTAGTAAAGCAATGGAAAAAGGAAGGAATGATATTGCAAAATCCAATAGCATACATTTCCTGATTTGCTTTTACTGTATAGCCATGTTTCTTGGCAAACATCTCAGAAAGTGAAACAGTGATAGCAAAACCAATGATAGAAATAGCTATTGCATCTACAGCCACATTAGGAATTAAGTTCCAATCTGGTGCTTTGGGTGGCATAAACCCAGTGGGAATATGTTCAGCTATACTGGAGTTGTACTTTTCCTTTAGTTTTCCAAAATGAGAGGCCAATGTGGCTACTACAACTACAATGAGTTCAGTAGGAATTGGTGCCTTAAGCTTGGTCTTGAAGTGCTCATTGAGTTCTTTGGTGGGCAAAAGAACCAAAAGGCACAAAAGGCTGGTGATGAGATCACAGAGATTGGTTTTATGGATGTTTCTGAAGATATGTATCCAGGTAGTGATAAGAGAGCCCACACCATTACTCCGAGGAAGGCTGAGCCCAAGGAGATACTTGGCCTGAGATGTAAGAATAGTGAAGGAGGCACCGGTGACAAATCCACTCAGCAAGGCATCTGAGAGGTAGACAGACACAAAACCCACTTGAAAGAAGCCCATTGCTACCTGGAAGAAAGGATATACAAGTGTTAAATATAAATGAAAATGAGCTTCTAAACCTAGAATTAACCTGGCATTTCTTTGCAGAGACATACTATCCAAAGCATCATTGAATGTCAGAACTAGAAAAAGGCAATCATATGTCAATCCTCTCATTTTACAAAGAAGAAACTGAGGCTCACAAGGCTAAGCAATTTGCCCACACTCACAGTGTTACTCATTAGCCCAGTTGATACAAGAACCTAAGATTCCTACTGTCTAGTGCAATGTTTCTTAATGAATAAGGTTCAGGCACCTTTAAAAAGAAAGCAATGCTCAACCATCTATAAGAAAACAACTAAAAAAAAAAGAAAACATTTAAAAATTCAAATTGCAAAAAATTCTTCAAATTAAGAATCTATGTATTTTCTTTAATTATAAATCATTGCCATGAAAGTGAAGTTAACTGCTAAAACAAAAAATTAAATTAATATCAAAATAGAATCACACTTGAAAAATTATAAAATTTTCTGTAACCTCAGTTTTAGAAACTGTTCTGATCCAGTACATATGTTTATGCCATACTGCCTTCTATATTAATAATTTTATATTCTCCAAGATAAAACCTTTTATTTTTTTTTCCATTCCCAATAATTCATCAGAATTCTATTTTTCCTTTCCTTATTCTTGCTGAGACATGCTAATGAAAAGGCAAAAATACTACTCTTGTACTTTCCCTTCTCTCTCTTTTCTTCATCTGAACACCACATACTGTGAGCTACTCTTTCCTTCCCTTGTTGGTTCCAAATGCCTGTTACAGAGAAGAGGTTTGATGCAAGCAATGACTCCCAGAAGTTAAAATGCAGTGGCAAGATGATAATGGCTTAACAGTGGAGTCTATGAGAGATCCAAGAAGAATTTCATCTCTGATCCTTTCTACTGGCTGATAATATAAAATATTGTTGTTGTTATGTGCCATCGAGTCGGACCCGACTCATAGCGACCCCTCCTTGGGTTGCTGATGCAGTATCACTACGGAAGTAGATTGCCCAACCTTCCTTCTGAGGAGTGGCTGGTGGGTTTGAACCACCAGTCTTCTGGTTAGCAGTCAAGTGCCTTAGGCACTATGCCAACAGAGCTCCTGGGGTACACAATAAGGGATAATTTAATTATTATGATCTCTAAGATCCCTTATAACTCTGAAAGTTCATGTATAGTGATTACTTTTGCCAGAAACAAACACCTATTTCATTGTTTCTTACCTGATAAACTCCAGCCATAAAAGTTACAGTGCTGCCAACTATAATCGCATAGCAACTTTTGTCACACATCCCATGTAACGTGCGATTTAATGACGTACTCTCATTTGGAAACATTTCTAAAGAAGAAGGAATATGGGCAGTGTCATAGCCAGCTTTGTGTAGTTCTCGGTCAACCACCTCACCAATCATAAGGCACAATACTCCAAAAATGCCCACAGAAATGTGACGGGAGGTACCTAACAGGAAATAAATGATGCTGGCAAAAAAGGATGTGTACAGACCATAGACAGGTTCCTGGCCAGCCAAGAGGGAATAAGCAATAGACTGGGGCACCAATAAGATGCCCACAATCAAGCCAGACATCACATCTCCTAAAATGTTTTTCTTCAGATCGTATTTTGGAAGCCACTGCAAAATAGGAAGGAAACCAAAAATCATATTTTTTGCTTTGGTTGGGCTGCACTGGCAACTCTTCTGTAGCTTTTTGATGATAAATTGCTTGAAGTCAGTATGTGATTTCTCTTGAGGCTCCATATGGATCCTAGAATGAGGTCTGCATTGATCACTGGTCTGAAATTCCTGGAACTCAGTACTTGATTCCTTTTGAGGCTCCAGATGGATGTTAGCCTGAGGACTATATTGCTCATTTTCTTCAGCTGAGTCCCTGGGTGAAAGGCCATGTTGTTCTTTATTTTCCAAGGACATCTCTGGAGACACGTGCTTCAGCTTCCTATCCTAGAGAAAACACCTATGTTAACTGATACAGTAATTTTCTATACTCACACATCTCAACAGTCTTGTCATTCATCAAAGTTACCAGGAATTCATTTTGGGACAGTGTAGTGTAGTAAATTACTTAGTATGGCTTTTTTACCCATAAGTCCTTGTAAACTCAGTGGTGGAATGAGCAACTGAGGAGCTCCTGATTGTAAATGTTATCCACCTGGGTTATTTCTGTTGGGTGTGGCACAATACAATGTTCTGGGAGGTTCCCACTCTCTCTCAGGTGCTTAGAGTTCTGATGCTGTGATTGTCTAGTTTGACCACCCTGCCGGGCTCAAAAGGAGAACTCCTAGAGGCAGAACACTCTCTGACTGCTGGATGAGGAGGACGTGCTGCTGAAAGAGACATGTGCCCCGGAAAGAGACACGTGCTGCTGGGAAAGAGACGCAAGAGACATGCGTTGCTGAGTAAGACACTGAGGGACATGCACTGCTGGGGGAGAGACTGTGAGAGACTTGGCTGAGAGACAGTGGGCTGGGAGAGAGACTGAGTGTTTTTCCTGAACTTGAATTGTAGCCTGGTGCTTCCCTAATAAACCCCATAATCTGTGAGCTCTGTGTGGCCACTGCAGTGAATTATCGAACCCAGGAGAGAGGTGGTGGGTGCTTTGGGAGGAATGGTTGGTGAAAGGGCTGGAGGGAGGCAGCATGTCTGGCCTTGCAGTAATAGGCCTTGTGCTATTGATGGTGATTCTGTCTTACTCTTGTGGGATTAGAGGAGGTCAGAACATGTGGCCTCCTTGCCGTTTTTGCAGACGGGTATCTCACATCTACTTTTCTTAGTTGAGTCTCATCTGTCTTAGTGAAAAAAGACCAGAACCAGATCATAAACAGCCAAGTGAAAGCAAATAATTGGCTGAGTAGAAGGCTTACCAAGATTCTTCTCCATCTCTACCTGGCTCCCCCTGCAGTTGTTTTTTTTTAGAAAAGGGTGGCCTGTGTCCTCCCTTCCATATGCTACCAATTGTCTTCTTCCCAACTTTTCACCTTTTGGGTAGACAGGGTCTAGTCTCAAACCCTTCACCCCTACCTGCCAGTCCCCAAAGCAAAGAGGTGAGCCTTTTCCTTTTTTTTTTTTTTCCCCAAGACCTCAGAAACCCCTATAGGGTTCTACTCTGTCCTATAGGGTCACTATGAGTTGGAACTGACGCAATGGCAGTGGTAGTGAGTTTAAAGAACCCACTAATTGTTGAGGATAAATAGAAAGAAATGGTGACAAGGGAAAAATACATGTTTTTTTTTTTTTTTTGTGAGTCAAAAAGTAAAGAAATAGGAAGTAAACAAATTAATAAATTAAAACTAAAAGTCTCCCTTCTTTTTTTTTTTTTAATATAATAAACTAGGTAAGAATGCATTTGGAGTTTTGAACACTTTCTTTGTAGGTAAAGGGAGAGTGAAGTTACTAAAGGATGCTGAAGTATAACAAATCTCAAGAACTTGAGAGAGCTGATGGGGGTAAGTGTCTAATATATGCTCTGAAGGTTCTGGTCTGTTCCACTATGTTCTAATATGGAATCATCTGGACCATGGGCAGGGCACACATTCATGCAAGCAAAGATTTTCTTTACTATTCTCAGTACACACTCTGAAACACAGGCAGAGTGAAGGAATAATATTGCCCTGCACTTCTACTCAGAGATTATCCAGGTGAAGGATTTCTGAGTCCTAAACTAGTGCAGCAAGACCTACACTAAGAACTATAGGAAAACAAAGGCAAAAATAACCCAAAAGCAGGAAGAACAACAAACAGCGATTCTTGTAATTAGAGTACAAGAGAAAGAAAAAGAACTAGGCTCTCCAAGGGGTAGAATGTAAACTGTTTACCAAATACATCATGTATCAGTGCCATTGTGTAAGCTTCTTGTTTAGCTCAGAATAGCCATTCTCTTTTCTGCCTATCAAGACAGTATCATTTCTTAAAATCCACTTAAAATGCTACCTCTTCTCAAAGTACTAGCTGAACTCCTATAGTTCAAGATATAGTCTATGTCTCATAGCATTTTGCACTGCTATTATAGTACTAACCATACTCTTATATTAGTTAAGTAAGAGTCTCTCAAGCTCCTGAAGGAAAGGAGACATCTTGTTCATCATTGTACTCCTCACTGCATGTAATACAGCAGGCTCACACAATGTTTAAAAGAATGGAAAAACAAATGAATTATATCTGTGACTCTGGCCAGAGAGACAGAAAATATCAGATGGAGAATATGAGAAGTTTTCTGTTTTGGAATCGACAAAAGCAAGCCTTTGTGAGGTTCTATAAACCTAGCAGTACTAAGATGCCACAATCCAGGACCTACCCACAGCCCACTCAAGAGCACAAGATACGTAAAAGTAACCCACATTATTTCATTTAGGCTGAAAGGGCTATCACAGGTCATCCCAATAAACAAGAAGAAAATAACAGTCACTCTTGAGTGTCTGGTGAAGTATATAAGGAAGAAAAGAATATATTTAGATGACCACTGACCCTGAGTAAGTCAATCAGATATGTGGATACACACAGCAGCTCTTTGATCCTCAAGAAGAATGTTCTGTAACTTTCTTCATACTTTCTGTTTTCAGACCAAGCTGCAGTGAGTGTACTTCTTATATCCTTCTATTTTGAACAACTTCTTGGGGCTTCTGGGTCAAAAAACTTTTCCAAACCTAGATATGCAAAGGAGACATAAGAAAAATGAATCAAATTCAAATCTTGCCCTATATGGCTGTTATCTGACAAGGAAAAATACTAAAAAATGACAGCAGAGAGATGAGACCAATAAAGTATCAAACAGAAATACTAATTAGTAAGTGAAAAAGACAATGACAAAGATGAAGAATACTTGTGACAGACTCATTAGTTAATGTGACAGAGCCAAAGAAAATCAACAAACTAGAAGAAAAGTCAATGGAAATTACCTAAACTGAAAAAAAAGAAAAATAGAATTAAAACACAACAGCAATATAACAGGACTTCCAAGAACTATGGAACATATCAAACAATCTACCTACCATATGCATAATTAGAATAACAAAATAAGACAGAGAAAAACCAGGTAGAAGAAATATTTCAAGACATAATAGCTGAGAATTTTCCAAAATTAATGACAAATGCCAAACTACAGATCCAAGAATCTCAGAGAATATAAAGCAGGTTAAATATAAAACAAACAAGCAAACACACCCACACTTAGGTATATCATATTCAAGCTACTGAAAAAAAAAAAAAAAGAAAAAGAAAATCCAGAAGGCAGACAAATCAAAAATACATTATTACATATACAGTAACAAAAATAATTGTAGCTGACTTCCTATTGGAAACCATAGAAGCTAGAAAATAATGGTGTGATATCTTTATCACAGAAAAATAACTGTCAACTCAGAATTCTATACCCAGAGAAAACAGCTTTTAAAATATGAAAGAGAAATACAAACTTTCCCAGATAAATGAAAACTCAGAGTACTGACACACAAAACTCAAAAACTCACTGCTATAGAGTTGATTTCAACTCATAGCAAACCCCACTGGGTTTCTTTATAGAAGCAGATTGTCCCATCTTCCTTCTGTGGAGTAGCTGGTGGGTTTGAACCGCCAACCTTCTGGTTAGCAGTCAAAAGGTTTAGGCACTGTGCCACAGAGCTCCTAGACTAGCACTAGAGGAAAAAAAAAAAAAAGTTATAGGTAATTCTTCAGGCAAAAAGAAATATGCCAGACAGAAACTTAGGTCTATATAACAAAGAAAGTGTAGGGTATGAAATAAATGAAGATATAATTCATTTTTGGAATATTTAAAAAAAAAATAATCTTTCATTGCTCTAAAATATAACTATATAAGCATCAATAGGAATGCATTTTGTTTATAGGATATACAAAAGTAAAATGTATGACAACACCACAAAGGATGGTTATGTAGGGGGCAGAAATGGGGCTTATATAAGGTCTTTCAATAGATGTGAAATAGTATATTAATTGAAGGTAGACTCTGATTAAAGTTATATAATAACTACTAAAATATATATTGTTGTTGTTGTTATTATATGCCATCAAGTCGGCCCCGACTCATAGTGACTCCTCCTTGGGTTTCCGAGGCAGTATCACTACAGAAGTAGGATTGCCCAACTTTCCTTCCGAGGAGTGGCTGGTGGGTTTGAACCGCCAGCCTTCTGGTTAGCAGTCAAGTGCCTTAGGCACTATGCTACCAGAGCTCCTAAAATATATATAGATACATATATATTGATACATGTTATCATAGCGAGCCCTCCTTGGGTTTCTGAGGCAGTATCACTACGGAAGTAGATTGCCCAACCTTCCTTCCGAGGAGTGGCTGGTAGGTTTGAACCGCCAGCCTTCTGGTTAGCAGATACGTGCTATGGATACGAAAAACCAAACTCACTGCCAATGAGTCAATTCTGACTCAAAGCAACCCCCACTGGTTTTCCAAGGCTGTAACTCTTTACAAAAGCAGATTGCCTCATCTTTCTTCTGCAGAGCAGCTGGTGAGTTCAAACCACAGGCCTTCTGGTTAACAGCCAAATGCCTTAACCACTATACCACCAGGGCTCTTTATGTATAGGATAACCACTAAAAAAAATTTTTAAAGAGGTATAAAAAGTCAATCATGGAAATAAAATGGAATCATAAAAAATTCTAATTCATGAGTAGGCTGGAAAAAAAGCAAAAACAGATGGAACAAATTTTAAATAGTTAGCAAAGATAGCAGAGTTTAATCCACACATATAATTACATTAAATGTGAATGGTATAAACATGCCAATTATAGACAGAGACTGTCAGACTGATTAAAAAAGACCCAACTGTATGTTGTCTAAAGAAACCCACTTTAAACATAAAGATATTGATAGGTTAAAAGTGAAAGGACTTGTTCCACCTTTACATAATGTATAGTTAAGGTTATGTGTCAACTTGAGTGGACCTGGTTTTGAGTGGCTGGGCAGCTGGTTG